GGGGGGGGGGGGGGGGGGGGGGGGGGAATGTTCATGCTATGCTGATGTCTTATTGGAAGGAGGTGTAAAGGATCACCCAGAGCATGCATTGGAGAGGGCAGAATAGAACCTGAAATCTCTCAATCAAAACAAAGCAGATGCAGGACTCCTGTGGCTGAAAACCCAAAATTGTGCTTGCATCTTTATGATTTGAGATGCTGGAAATTACAGCTGGTGCAGGAACATGCAGACAAGTTTGGGTTCATTGGCCCCAGCACTGTGGAAATTGCAAACTTCTGAGCGCTATGTATAGTTTGTAATTTGTGTCGGTACAGAGGCAGGGTCTTGAGAGCAGACTGAGGCTCTCTTTATGCACGTCTGTCTGTCTGCACAAAGTTCAACATCAGATGGTGGACAGTTTGGGGAGGGAATTGAATCTGCCCTGTTTTCAATGGAACCTGCCACTCAGGTGGAGCCTCTCATCCAGCTCCCTTCTCTCTCTCTCTCTCTCTCTCTCTCTGCTTTTAGTGCAAGTCTCTTCTTGCATACTACCCGTCACTGGAGCGCTTGCTTGCATATAAGAAACTGTCCACCCATATCTCTCTCCCAACAGTTCCCATTTCACCATCTCCCATGCCAGTGATGGGGGACGGTGCTTCTCACTACAGCTCAGAGGTACATTGAAGCATTTGGGATCCTGATAAGGCTAAAATCCCAGGACTTTAGCCAAAACCCCACTGCTCAGAGCTCTTTCTGCCTCAGTCGCTGTTTCTCAGGCTCCTGCCTCCTCTACCTTTGCTTCACTATGTGGCTCTTCCCCTCACCCCCCAGTTTCTGGCAGTGCAGGTGACTTGGATCAGGTATGCAACCGCTTGCTGGTGCTATGGCTGGTGATTTGCTCTGTCAAGTCCTGGTAGGAGGTAGATTTCAGGAACCTGGGATAGGAATCCTTCTCCATCAAAGTGCGGGTTTTTGCCTGTGCAGCATCGAAACAAGAAGAAGTAGCAGCTGTCAGGTTCTTCCGGGTTATTTCTCTGGTTTCATGGTCAATATTCACCTGTGAGGAAGGACAGGACATATAATATTCTTTTGGTGTGGGAACATTACCATATGGAGAGGGAAATGATTTCCCTCCATAAATAAAATGGGGGCATGACTAAATATTATGTATGGTCTGGGAAATCACATGATGTGTCTTCCATATAAGATGGCGCTTGGTGTGTGGGAACTAATTTTCCCATTGTATGAGCGGGGAAAGCACATTACTGTCACAAACTTATGTTAAATAAGTGAAACAGTTCTCAATTCCACACCAATACCATAAAATGCAAAGCTAGAAATAATTCTGACCTCTTTAGGTGCTTCATTTTGAACAAACTCCTTAAAGATCCTGTGGGCCTTGGATGACAGTTTAGTTTTTGACCGGGACTTTTTGAACTCCTCACAAGCCAACCAAAACTCAAGGTTCTCCTCACTGAACTCTGTCTTCAGGAAGGCATGGAATGTAGCCACCCCACCTGAGAAGAAAAAGGAAAATTAGATTTAGGGATGGAAGAATGGGAAAAGGAAGCAGCTTCATACAGCTTTGGGAGATAAGGAATGCTACCAGGTTTTAAAATATATCTTGCTTATTGAGTAATTCAGCATTATTGAAAAGTCTCTCTTGGAGTTCAGACCATGACATAATATTCTACTTCACCCTGGACAGATTCCACCCTTCTCAGATTGTTTGTTAGCCTCTGGGTTCCAATAAACCACTTTCCCACAGACAAGCATGGAATGGGGCATACCCTGTGTCTCCAGCATGTTCTGCATGTCTGACCTTCTATAATGGTTCTCCAGAGTGTATTCCCTGTGGCTTTGGAACAGATAGATAGATCTACAGAGATCTATCTAGGAATTTATATGCCCTCCACGAGTATCTGAGCAGATCTGAGTGGTGACTTTCTCCTTCTTCTTGACTCAGTTGTACAGGGAACAAGTCACAAGCAGTGCAGAAGCACACATGCCCCATGTTCAAGAGAGTCTATGAAGTCACACCACTGAATGTATTTGTTAACCAAAATGGGTGACAAAGTTTGGGTTAGGCTGAAACAAGGAGCACATCAGTAGAGAAGGGCCTCTCCTCTGTGGAGTCATTTCTATCATGTCAGTAACATTTTCAGTCCACTTTAGTTTGAAGATTTCTCATGTCACTTATTTAATAGTCCAACTCCTGGGCACTGCAGCCATGTAGGAAGGAGATAATCCCCACCTGATTGCAAAGTGTATCCCTGAAAAGTACTTACGTATGTGTTTGTGTGTGAGAGATTTTCTTACTGGGACTCTAGTGCATAGCACAGCCAGTACTTCTGCAAGTACAGACAGTCTGGATGGCAGGATGGATGTACTAAAAATCACACAGAATCAGTACTTCTCCACTGCTGGGCATTTCCTACCGTTCTGGAGGGAAGCTGTTGAATTCTCCCTCTCTAAGAAAATTCTGAATAGTACAAGTGGTAGCATTGCCTCTCAACCCCAAAGTTGAAGAACAATATCCATTTTCATGGGTCTCTACTGAATGTCCATTGAAACTGAGATGGGTAATAACCTTAGCTTGCATGACAATTTACAGTCCAGGTTTTGACAAAGTGATACATCCCACTGACGTAACATCAGCATGATAACTTTTATGCCCCAACAACATGACGTGATGCAACGTCTCTGCCAGAAAGAGGACCACGCCTGAAAAATGGCAACCCTACTTGGCCATGCAGCAATTCTGTTTAGTTTTTACCCAGCTTGTTCAGACAGTTATCTGCTCCACTGTCCTCTTTGCATCAAAGCAGCACTCTTAGGAGGGAGAAGGAAGCAGTTCTTAAAGACCGACCTTTCTTTTATTCTAGTCTGAGAATGGACAAACATTACCTATTATGCTGAACTTACGTACACTGTTAACCCTTAGTCTCCCCTCCCACTCAGTCTTGGTGTACTTCCCCCTTCATTCTGTCATACAAGAGACTCATACTCACTTTTACTCTTCAGCAGGTGATCAAAGGACTTCTTCCATTCTAGTACTTCCTCTGAGGAGTTTCTGGAGAGGAAAAGTTAAGTTAAGTATTAACCTTGTTTTATGGAAACAAACTCTAACAAGTGTTCAATCTGGCCAAATTCTCAGGGATAGAAAAGCTCCATGACAGAGGCTACTGTGTTTAGGGGAAGAGGAGAGGATTGCAACACTCTATAGAAAACTAAAGTAAGAGACCCAGCAATCTCATTACCTCTTGGGTCTTCTCCTTCCTTTCTCTTTCTTTCTCCCTCTCTCTTACTCTCCCAGATGACTCACCAGATCTTAGCTCCATAGTGTAGCTATGGCCAGTTGTTTTTCTATATAGATATTCAAAGGAGTCAATTCCAGCTGGTACAAGTTCTGGCAAAGAGTTTGCCTTCAGGGTCCTGGTTCTAAGGTTGACTACAGTCCACAGATAGAGTCCAGCAGCTGGTTGGGGGACTCCAGTAATCAGTTAAATCCACTCTGGTGTCTAGCCTGAACCTGGGACACCACACTGTGTCCCAGATGCCACTCGCTAGGGCTCCTGTTGTCCAGTCTGGTTTTATGACTGGTAGAGCTGGGTAATAAACATTCCCCTCTGAAAATTTGGGGGTGTGGCTTAGTGGGTGAAGAGTTGCGAGTTCTGCTGATATATTGTGCTTTCTTCCTCATATGGAGAGGGGCATGAACATGATCCAATCCCAGGGCAGTCCTTGGGGACCAATATAACTCTTCCATGATACAGTGCTCTGCTGCTGTGCTCTCCTGCCTATGTCTACCCATGTACAGCAGCAGGGGACCTGTGCTGAGTTGGGGGAAAAGGCAGGCGTGGCTTACCTCAGTTTGGTGCCCTGCTCAGACGTGCTGAAGCTCTCAGCCTCATGTCCCAACTCTGGCTTATGAAGCAGGATCCCTAAACGAGTCTTGAGTTGTTTGGCTCTGAAAGACAGAAGAGGAGCAGATGGGTATGGAATAGATTCTAAGAGGCAAGGAATGGCCACTAGGGGGCAGAGGTGCATGCTCATCAAACTGAGGGAAGGCCTGTTAGGACAGGCTTGTTAGCATTATATCCTTACAGAAAAATGCCTCAGGATGCAATTAGCTAGCACTCTGTCTGAATCCAGCATGAATACACAGGGTCAAATTAAACACTGATAGAAACAGGCACAGCTCCATGACTCTAGTGAAGTTTCAGCCCCTTGTTGCTGTAATTGGTTTAACCCACAGTTATCTTTAGTATTAGTCATTGAGTTCCTATTTATGAATTAAAACCTTTCTTCGCCAATCCCACCCTTTGCCACCAGAAGCCACTAGAAAACTCTCAGTAGTTCCTTGGGAGATCGTTTTCTTGTATACACTTCTCCTGTATACACATATAGAGCATGTGTGGAGGTGTTTGTCTGATTAGTGTATAGTATAGAGGCAGCTGCCTGCCCTGTCTGGCCCTTTCATTATCCCTCTGGCTTCCTCTCCACTCTGGTGTCTGTTGGTCAATCTCTGCTCTGCTCTCCTGATCCTCTTGTCCTCAGTACTTTTTCCTTCTGCTCTGGAGTGTCAGGGAAAATAGTGAAGCCGCTCTCTTCTCAACAGCAGTATTGAGAGAGTTCCCTGTCCTGCTGTCTCTGCCACACTACACAGACAGCCCCATGCCTCAGTGTCTCTGCAACACTACTGAGCTATCTCTGTGCCACATGGTCTCTGCGGCAGTACTGGTGCAGCTGCCTGCAGTGGCGTCTCTGCGCCAGCACAGAGACAGCTCCGTGCCACAGCATCTCTGCGACAGTATTGAGATACCTCCCTGCCAGTGCATCTTTGCGACAATACAGAGACAGCTACCTGCTATATCACCTTCTCCCTAGAGTACCATCCCGAAGAAAAGGTACAGGTCAAATGTTATTTATACTACTGCTTATACAAGGCGTCTCAGAGGACTGTTATAAAAATTATCGATTCAATGCCAAACAAGTAGCACAAGACTCTGCATCCACATCATTGTTTATTTGAAATGTGTCTGCAGAAATATTTATTTTAAATATATTTGCTACTGTCAGGGCAAAGCAAGTTCTGCAATTGAAGGGAATAGCAAGACAAACCTCAAGCATTTAAAAAATATAAAAGCAGCACTACCCCTTCATATTGCTTACCCCTGCATTCCCCTCCTCCCTGGTACTATAGTGCTAAACTATATTGCTTGAACCACTGTTGGCTATGATTTAACCACAACACGTGTCCCAGTTTTACAAACACAGCATCATTGCCCATGCAAAAGGGGCCATAAGGTCTGGTACTGAATCTAATATTTCTGTATCAACAAGTCCTTTATTTCCCAGAGTCCCAGTATTTCAAAAACTCTTACCTTTCCAAGCAGGTGGAAAGAGCAGCTAAACCCCGGCACATGCTGAGAACTGGACAAGCAGGAGGGTAGGTAGCTGACAACAGGTTTAGTCCTTGTCACTGGATTGGAAAGCAACAAGCAGCTAATGTAGTCCTGTGCTGTAGCCTGGAAGCGGTGCCTGGGAGCTGTGCTTTATATCACATGGGAAGTGGGAGGGGTTAGCCACACACAACTCCAGCCTCTAGCCAACCAAAAGCTCTGACAGTAGTAAGAAAAGATAATGGTTTAGGTGGGTTTCTTTTGTGTGTGTTGAGAGGGAAGTGGGGGAGAATCAGAGCTGTCCTTGAACATCACAGTCCTAACCTGTTCCCAGATAACAGGAAAAACAGACTAATTTCCACCTATAAACTATACCTGCTATGTAAACATCAGAAGCCTCTAGCATTGTGACTGCCCCTAGACTCTCTGCCGTGAAATAAGGAGGATATGCCGTTACAGGTGTGTGGAGAATGGGAAGCTTTTCTTTTTCTTAAAATAAAACAATCTGTTTAATATACAATATATGAAAAGCATAGCAGTTATCAGCTAAGTACCACTGGCCGGAGACCACTTAGTCCTGTCTGCAGTACAGATATGAGCACGTTGGGAGAACACCAGGTACAATGTGCTTGTCCTCACGGGGGTTTAAACAATGGGCCAGATTCACCAGTACATTCAGGCAATTTTGCAGCATTCTGGCATAAGTAACTATAAGCCCAGTTTAAATGGTTTACAATCTCCAGAGCAGTGCAAAGCAGCCGCAGCATGCGAGTGAAACAGGCCCAGTGTCTGCCTTGCATAGTCAATAGGGCAAAATGGTGTTTTAACCATGCCTCTAAATCACGCTATACGTCCAAGCTGTGGCACAACTCAGAGACACTTGTTAAAACAGGGTTTGGCCTCACCTATATTTTGAAACCGTGTGGAAGGACAACTTTAGTTATCGTAACCAGATCCCCTGATATAGTTCAATGTGTAGTGTACACTGGATCATAGTTGCAGACTCTGTTTCATTCTGCTCTGCGTGTGGTGAAGGGAGAGAAGGAGAAGATACCATGGTAATAGGCACAATGTAAGAACCTGACTAGGAGAGAACAGAAGAACAGAGAAAATAAAACAGGGGAAAGAGAGAATGGAGCAGGAGATCAAGACAGAAGAGCTGAAGAGAATGGGGCAAAGAGGTAGAAAAAGAAGGTCAATTTTCTGAAAATTTATCACGGTAGGGGACTGTACTGCAACCTGATAGTGCCCCCACATTCCCACAATGTTATAACAAGCAGAACGTCACTCCCTCTAAGGCCATGCCAAGGGCTCCACTGAAACAGCCAAATGCGTAATAAAACAGCTTCTGACAGAGGTGCGGCTCAAGAATCAGCATCCTGCTGCTGCACCATCTCATATGCCATATTGTACTGCAGTGCCGGAGCGAGAAAGGGAAGCAAGAGAGACCTGCAGACAGAGATCAATGGGAAACAGGGATATAGCAGAGGATAGATGGATGGATAGGATGCAATTGCCATACCAACATTCTGTCTCAAGCAGTGACCAGTATCAGAGGAAGGTGTAAAACCCTTGTGGTGGACAAACATGACAGACAGACAAGCAGAGTCTAAAGCTCTCTGCTGGGGAAATGCAGTTCTCTCTCTGAGTAACACCTGCTCCCTCTAGTACTACAGTCACCATGACGGCTTTTGGACATTAACACTTTGTGGTTCACTGTTTTCGTTGCATTCTCTGGGCATCAGAGTTCATAATATCACGGCTCTTACGTTCCTCATCTTTCAAATACAAATCTGTAAGCGGTGATTCTAAACCCGTCTGCTCCTTCCTTCCTGCCTCTCAACCAGCCCCATGGCCACTGTGAGCCCATCCACCAGGTTGGACATTTTTCACAAACGCTAACTACCCTCCTCTGCATCTGTCATGGGCTGCATCTGCCACGACAGCCGCTCACGTTAGACTGCCTGAGCTGCAGCGTCTGTGGCGGCAGCAACACAGCATGATGGAGATTTCAGTCTGTCTGCTGCAGCGAACTCAGGACAACAGCTCATTTAAGCTGCTTTAGCAGAACCCGTGAAGCACGTTTTCAACTTCCTAGCTATGTCTGTCTGTCCAGCAATGGAATAGTAGGACTGAAGTAGTATACAGAAATAATAAATACAATGAAACAATAAGGGGCCAGATTCATTGGTAGCAATGGGTTACTTAACTGGTCTATTATACTGGGTTTATAGCTGCTTTGGATCACTGGAACAGCCGGAAATATCCAGAGCATACCAGTGACTCTTGCCCTTGATATTTGTCATAGACCCTGTACTGTCTTAGACTCCATTCCACAAAGGCACAGGAATCTGGTAAAGCTCGGTCACTTACTAAACACTGTATTCAGTCTATTCCAGGGTAGGGCAGTGGCTGTGATGTTTCCTGGGAATACCCAGGGCTATGAGAACCTTGCTACCACCTGCCCTTAACATGAGGTAACTTTGTCTGTGCCTGCCGTGGGTCAGCTCTCTACCTCCACCAGCCAGGGGCTACACAAGCAGTGCCCCCTCTTGGTCTCACAGGCCCTGCTGTCACTCTGCAGGTTAGTGATAAGCACACTCCACTCCTCGAGCCCTCTGAGCGTCTCCCTGGAGTGTTCAGCCCCTGGTCCACTGGACACTCTCACTGTTCAGAGCCACTGCTTCCAAAGAAACAACACCCTAGCTTAGTAGTCACTCCTTAGAACTCCGCTCCGGCTTAACTCAGGCATGTTTATGGTGAAATCAAGCATATGTTTATTTAACAATGCACAGAGATTCAAGTAGAGCAAGTAGAAGTGTCGGGAACAAATGCTTACATATAAAATAAAATCATAACACACATTCTAGAGCCTAGAACTTAATCAACAAGTAACTCTTATGTCTTGTAAAGTAATACTCACCCCAAATCCTTGCAGCACTTTACAGCCTGGCTGGCTATGACCCTCCTTTCATGGGACAAGCACGCTGTCAGTTTCCCTCCTTGGTGAAGGAATCAGTGTGTTTCCTTTTGCATTCTATGATATACCGGACCAATCCTTTGTCTTCATTCATAAATGGGATGCCCCCTGCTGTCTGTTTCTTCCTGTAGATGTCTTCTGTAGATTTTGCAGTCTCTCAGTTTGTACCTGGCTTAGTATGCAACTAGGAATACAGTACAAAAATGGCCAGACAGGGAGATAAGTAACAGTTATCTCCTGCCTTCAAAGAACATCTCTGAGGTAAGTCATGGTGACCTGCCTTAACTCCAAGATCTTAAGAACCTAATTTTCAATATTGATACATAACTCCTTAAATATTACCTGTGCATACATTTCACAATGATTATTACAACCAGTGGGCTTCTGGCTCTCGGTAGAGCCCTCACATGCCATCCCTTGTGCCTTCTGCCAGCTGGCACTAAAAGGCCCCTGGAGCACAGGAGCACACAGGAAAGTTCAGATCTTTCTCTTCCTTTAATTCCTAAAAGCCCTGGAGATATTCTGAAATAGGATAGGTATGTAACACACTTGATAGGGTTAACTCTTTCTAGGTACTTATATGGCCATCTCTGTAGTATCCGAGTGCCTCACAGACACTAGTGAATTTATCCTCACAACATCTTGGTGAGGTAGGGAAGTAGTGCTACCTCATGTTACAGATGGGGAACTGAGCCACAGAGAGTTTAATGCTAGGATTTTCGAAAGAGCCTAAGGTAGGGTGACCCATAGGCGCCTGGGTGCTCTGGAGCTGGAGCACCCATGGGGAAAAAATGGTGGGTGCTGAGCACCCACCAGCAGCTCCCCTGTCAGTTCCCTCCATCCCCCACAGTGCCTCTTGCCCGCCAGCGGTCCCAGCAGATCAGCACCTCCCCACCCTCCCGCTTGCCATGATCAGCTGTTTTGTGGCACACAGGAGGCTTTCAGGGGAAGAGGGGGGGAGGAGCAAGGACACGGCACGCTCAGGGGAGGGGCGGAAGTGGGCGGGAAGAGTGGGGGGGGTGGAGCAGGGGCAGGAAGAGCCAAGGTGTGGGTAGGGCCTTGGGGGAAAAGGGTGGAGGGGGGGCAGGGCCTGGGGCAGAGCAGGGGGTTGAGCATCCCCCAGCACTTCGGAAAGTCAGCGCCTGTGAGGTGACCAGATAGCAAGTGTGAAAAATCAGGACACTTTTTGGGGTGGGGGGAGCAGAATAGTTGCATATATAAGACAAAGCCCCTAATATCCGGATATCTGGTCACCCTAGCCTAAGGGAGTTGAAATGTAATGGGAATTGGGCATCTAAGTACTTTAGGCACCTTTGGAAATCCAAGATGAAGAGACTTGCCCAGGGTCACACAGAAAAGTTGCAAAAGAGCCAAGAATTGAGTGCAGCTCTTCTGAGCCCCAGTACAGTGCTTTAATCAGAAGACCAACCCCTCTCCTCCATGGCTCTCTTTAATAAACTAGTTTAAAGATTTTTCTTTGTTTACTTTAGCTGTAGAGACATATGTTTAGAGCTAGAGGGGGTGTATGTTAATGTATCCCTATGCCTTAAAAGTGAGATTTGAGGTCTTGTTTCTTATGTGTTCCCTTGTATATGTTTTTTTCCCTGGGTTTCAAGGAGTACAAAGGAAATGGAGGAGTGAATATGTGAAGGATGCAACACTGCATTTGCCTGGATATGCACTGGAAATTATGGGGATCTGGCTGCATGCCTCTTTTTATTGCGTACCATACTGCTCAAACAAGAAGAAGAGGAAAGAGAAGCTTAAAAAAGACTACCTGCCCTCAGCCTGTAATGTTTGTTCTCCTCAGTAATCTGCATGTTCCTCACCATTTCCTCTCCATTCTTCTGCTCAGACACACAATGAGAAAACATCCACCAGCTTCTTGTAGGAGGAAGTGCTGCTGCAGCCACAGTGCAGCATCAAGGCACGTGGGCTGTCTCAGACTCTCCTGGGAGTGCTGGTTATGTGTCTGCACGTGTGCATGGGGCACGGGCTGCTTCTCAGAGTATGTTAATGCTTGCTTTGCTGTGATGTGTTCTCCGAGTGTGTGTGTTTGTGTGTGTGTGCATATGTTTATGCTAGTAGCTATGTCTGTGCATGCGTGATTCATAGATTCATAGATTCTAGGACTGGAAGGGACCTC